CGTGTGTGTGTGTGTGTGTGTGTGTGTGTGTGAGAGTGAGAGAGAGAGAGAGAGAGAGAGAGAAAGGAGAGAGAGAGAAAAGGAAGAGAGAAAGAGATAAGGAGCAGGGGGGGGGTGTCAAGGAAGTATCATTCTCAATAATTAAGCCAAATTAAGCTCAATAAAACCATGTTATGAATCAGTAATGAACCAATGGTGCGACCTTCCTTCCGAGACGATAAATTGCATGGCTCAGGGTCAAAATAATACATTCATGCCTTGGAATGTTATGTCACAAGACGCTGTTAGTTAGATCCCGTGACTCTAGAGAGGGTTTTGTTTGGATTCTTACTTTTGTTTCTTCTACAGTGTAGATCTACATGTATTCAGTTGGCCGGGCATCGCATTCATCTTCCTGTAATGTCCTCTCTCTCTCTCTCTCTCTCTCTCTCTCTCTCTCTCTCTCTCTCTCTTTCTCTCTCTCTTTTCTCTCTCTTTCTCTGTATAATAAAATTTTATCGGGGCTCTCGTGGTCTTGAGGTTAGTGAGTTTGCTTCTCATTCAATAAGTCCAGGGTTCGAAACCTGACAGCAACGGAATGTTTTCTTCTCGAAGATTTTCTCCTTTCACCTCCTTTCCTGCTCGCTGAACATATTGTCATCTGCTTTCGTCTTCACTTTCTGCTCCCTACCCCCTTCCCCTTTGCCCTCTCCTCTGGGCCCCTGACTCTTTTTGCAACCTTTCTACTGCTACTCCTTGGCTCCTTTTTACTGCTGTCTCTCAGCCACACCCTTGATCTTATGGTAGGAAAGATCTAACACCTAGCCTTCTCGGAAGAAGATGAAATATCTCGGATGTCCCGTGTGCAAGTTGCGCCCGTTAAAGATCCCTTGGTGGTCTAAAATCGATGAGAGTAGGCTTCAGCCGCCACCCGGGCAAAATTTTAAAAAATTCCTACCAACTGAAAATGTTAAATGCGTCCCACGCGCTCATTTAACCTTAAACTGTTCCGAGCGCCGTAAGACACTTACTTCGCCCCCCCCCCAAAAAAAAAAAAAAAAAAAAAAAAAAGAAAAAAGGGGGGAAAAAGAAAATCCCCCACCGCTATTGATACAGCCGAACCTTCTGTCTGACCCTTCTGTTGCTGTTGTGATTAGCACTTGCACGCTGGTGTCGACAGTTGTACTGTTGTATATTGTAGCCTACTACATTGTAGTTTACTACTCTTTCAGCATTAACCTTATTATTACACTCTCTTGTGTTATTCCAAACTGGTGACATCCATCTTTTCTCCTCGTTTGTTGGTGGATTTTTAGAACGTGTGTTTGTCACTTGTGTAGTTGTTTATAATATTCTTAGTAAGGGGAAACATTTTAGTGCTAGATCTAGTTTGTACAAACGTAAATGGAGACACTTGGCTGGGCATTGAGAGAGAAAATTTTATCCGTTCAAAATAGGGTGTCAGTCTCGCAATCTGCCCCTTTTTTTAAATCCATAGTTTGATATTTTGCAATTAAGTTTGAAATGTTCTTGAAAATAATTGGTTGATTTGCGACAGTTTTAGTGGCTATAAATAAATATGTACACATGTACGTGCCATTATTGATTAAAAATCAATCCAATTCAAATATGCAGAAATAAGGCCAGTAAGTGAAAAGCTGACCACATGCTTACATATTATCTATTATCTATTTGTGGTAGCTGAATTTTGCTATTCAAAAGGCTTTTCAATGGCTGCATCGATCGACATGTGTTTTCGCAAAAAGATTCTTTGAAATATTCTCCAGATCATGACGCCCTCTGTATTTTCAGTTTTTAAGACATTTTTGCTGCAAAAAGCTAAATTTCTTTATTTCGCCGATCGCTTTTGTAGACCGACGCTTCTGTCTCTTTCATTTTAGAAAAGGAGGTTTCCGTTCACTAACCGTGCGCCCTGTTTTGAGAGTATAGATCTAAACCTTCTAATTTTTGCATCTCTCAAAGTGTATTGCTCCATTCCTGTAGACTGTAATATCATAAGCCAATGACTTTCGGCAGACGTTAATGCACCGATCATTCCTTTCATCGAAAGGGGACCCAGCTAGTTGTTTATAATAATTGTTTCAATAGTTTTCTATTAAAACTTGTCCATGGTTATGTCACAAAAATAGTCAATTGGAATTTAGCTCTTGTGATTATGCATGGCGTATGTAAATGAACAAAATTAATAAAATAGACACATTTGTTCAATGTTCATGTTACATAATATTATCTAATATAAATGATGTTTCTGCAACCACAAACTTTCAGGTGGCCTGGGCACAGCATAAACCTCCCCTAGGCGATTATATGACCGTCTAGTACCTCCCCTATGACGTGAGAACGGAGGCGTCAGTACTGGTTACAGTGGGCAAGGGTGAAGGATGGGAATGAAGGGCGGTTGGGGAGGGATGAAGGGGGGTGGAGAGGTCGGTGGG